TAGTCAGCAGTAGGCTATTAGTATATGAATAGTTTTGTTGGAGTCGAGAGTTACTCATGGGTTCTGACCAGTGTGGCTCTGTCGGTTGGGTTTCGTTCTGCGAAGTGAAGGGTCACTGGTTCCATTCCTGGTCAGGGTTCATTCCTGGGTTGCAGGTTTGTTCCCGTCGGAGTGCATTCAAGAGGCTACCAGTTGATGTTTCTCTCCCTTTCTTTCTCCCTCTCTTCCCCCCTCTCTGAAAATAAATAAACAAAAGTTTTTTAAAGGAAAGCGAAACCATCGATTTTAGGTTCTTTAGAGGCACTAGTTTACAATCAGACTAATGAGTGATTCACATTTTTTTAACCAAAGCAAGTGTTTCAGGTCTACAGTGCATGCCACTTAAGTCTTGTTTGAGAAATTATTTTGGAAAGATCTGTTAAAACGTTAAGCAATTTAGAGTCATACTGGTCCTTTGCCCACTTCTAACATTTCAGTAGCAGAGTTGTGTTTTAATTATATCCTTCAATCCTCCAAACCAAAGGTGAATGGGAAGGTTTTTCTTTTTAATATAGGATTTTTTTGGTATGACTTTATTTTTGAGAGAGAAGGGAAGGGAGGGAGAAAGAGAGGGAGAAAAACATTGATTGGTTGTCCCTCCTACATGCCCTGACCAGGGATTGAACCCACAGCCTAGGCAGGCACTGCTACCAGAATCGAGCCCACAACCTTCTCTTCACAGGATGATGCCCAACCAACTGAGCCACATTAGTCAGTGCAGGAGGTTTTAATTTTATATGTTTGTGAATGTTTTTAACCTCTGTATAGAATATTTTATAGGTAGTGTTTCAAAGATTTTAAAGTTAGGTTAATTCCAACTTAAAAATTAAAATCTATTGAGGTTTTAGATTTGGGGATGGGTGTTATTAGTGCACAACTTGGCTTCCTAAGACTATTGCTGTCAAGTGAAATGCCAAGATCATTTTATAACTGAAAGCATGGAGCACTGGAGAAAGTTTAGAGATTGCTGGTAAAGAAAACTGCATGGAATGCTATTTTAAAGAGTATTCCCAAAGTCTGTGTAATTTAATTACTCAATATTTTTACTTTCCTGAGATATTTGAGCCAATTTAGCTCATAAAAACATTTCATTTTAAATATCTTTAGATGGCCCTAGCTGGTGTGGCTCAGTGGATTGAGTGCCGACCTGCGAATCAAACAAAGGGTTGCCGGTTTGATTCCCAGTCAGGGCACATGCCTGGGCTGCAGGCCAGGTCCCAGTAGTGGGGCACGTGAGAGGCAACTGCACATTGATGTTTCTTTCTCCCTTTCTTTCTCCCTCCCTTCCCCTCTCTAAAAATAAATAAATAAAATCTTAAAACATATATATCTTTAAACGGGCCATTTAAAGAGATAATCTGGTATTTAATTCTACTTGGGCAAGGTCTGAGGCATCGGATTTGTGCTAGGTGGTGCCACGAGGCCATGCGGTACTAGACTGTGTAGTAAGTACCCTGGGGGAGGTGAGTCTTGAGGATTTGTTGTAGTCCAGAAGCAGTGTGAGACTTCATCTCACTCTTAGTTTTTAGGTCCATTTTTAGGTTTGATGTGCTCTGTTTTCTCCCACTGTGTGGTGAGTGGGTCTCAGAATTTGCTGCGGGTTCCAGGCCACTCAGGACCATTGCAAGGCCTGGGTCATACAAGGAGCTTCTTGACTGGGCTAACTCACTGGAGATTTATTAATTCAGTCAAACATTTATTGCGTGCCAGCTATTTGCTAGGTACTCCTCAGGATGTTAGAGATACAGCTATAAATACAGTGGAGTCTCTTCCCAGAGGTTGAGGAAGGCAGACAAATCTCTGGAACTGCCTGTGTTCTATGTAGATGTAATTAGCTGCCGTTTTGCTCAGGTCTAGATCTTACGGGGAACTGAGAGCCAGAGAGAATCCTTTGGGTCACCTCGATTTCTTTAACACTTCCCTTGATCATACGGTAGTAATTTGGGCAAAGGTGGATGATATATTCTACAATTGGTGGTAATCTTTGGAATTGCTGTTTTATTTTGGACTAGGTTTAGTTGCTTTAAACTCTTTCTTATTTTTTATTTTTTGAGTATGTGAAACAGATGGTACAGAAGTCAAAACCACGTAAACAAGTACCAGGGAAATCCTGCTTTTATCTCTGTTCCCTCCAACCTGGTCTCACCCCACAGGCCATTATTTTCTTGAGTTTCTGGGTTAACCCTCCCACGTTTCTTTTTAATCGCATTGAACCTTGGGGAAGGGGACGGAGGAAGAAGGTGGGAAACTGAAGGAAAGGGGTGAATGGGCGGGGAGGAGAAGAATTCTGTTTAAGTAATGCTTGTGAAATGTTTTACTGGCAGTCTTTTTGTTCCACGGCCACTCCTGTTAACTCTGAAAAAGGCAGTAACTTTTAAAAAATAAACTTTTTATTTTGGTATACTTTTAGATTTGCAGAAAATTAGCATTAAATTAGTATTTTAACTAATCATGCTAATACCCTAGTACTTTTGAAATAAATAAATAAGGGAGAAGTCAAAAAGTCATACAACTCAAGGTCAGTGCTTTAAGTATGGTTGGCTAATTTGTAGAGTATTTTATTTTATTTTTTTGTAAACCTTCCTTATAAAATGCCCTGATATGGTCAGTTCTATTTTATCCACGTCAGTGGAGGGAAAGCATAGAAAAAGTGATACATTGCTCATCCACCCAGATGAGTGTTGGTACACTCCATTGCTGATTTTAGAATCCTAGAGCTTGGAGTTGGAAAGTGGCTTGGAGGTGAATGTGCCAACTTTCTGCAGAATACAGGAGATGTCTTCAGCAAATCTGCATCCATTACAGATTCAGCCTCTGTCAAGCTCTGCATACTGCTTTGTAAGGCAGTCAGTTCCGAATTTGTCATAAAATTATTCTCTTGAGTTGAAGGATGCCCTGCCCCCTGTAGCAGTAGAGTCTGGAGACCAAATTATATCTGATAGGTATACATACATATAGGGTATACCTATACATATATGTATAACCTCTTTGCTTTCTTTCTTCATTGTTTCCTTCTTTTGAGATATCCTTCTCCTCAAATGCTGTTTTATTTCTTTGTTTATATTTGGTTACTTACAAATGTTGGGGTAAAGAGAGGGATAATGATCATGAGTAACCCTAACCTCACGGGGCTGTTATGAGGATTACATAAGATCACATCTGTAGAGGGCTCAGCATGGCGCATGGCACACAGTAAGCATTTCATAAGTGCTAACGGTATAGTGGTGGTAATGGTCTCTGTCATCCAGTCTTTTCTTCCTAGACTAATAGGGAAAATAGCGGTAGGCGACTACCTGTAATACAAGGCTGGATGAAAGTATGTGGTACAGTGGAGACAGAAGCAAAGTTCTAACTCTAAGAAAGGAGCAGTTACTTCCAGTTAGAGATCAAGAAGAAGGAATCTTATCTCTGTAACTTTGAAGTGGAAATAGAATCTCTTTAAAGAGAATGATATTCTAGATTATTTCTAGCAAAAGCATGGAGCCAGGAAGGTGCACAGAACCTTAAGATGTCCTGAGTGACAGAGGGGTTAGGAAACCTGTCTGGAGAGTCTGGTGAGAAGTAATGACAGGATGTGGAGAGGTCGGACTGTGCTGTGAGAACAGTAATGGGAAGTTTGTATTTTGTGCTGGAGGCTTTGGGTAATATTTGCAAGTCTTTGAGTAGAGGATGAGATTGCAGTCTTACAGCTAAATAAATGTAATTATTGTGTATAGGCAGTTAGTGGTTCCTGCCAATTTACAATCCTAAGTGAGGGCTCATGATAAATATATAGTAGGAGGAAATTGTTGCTGTAATCCATGGTGTGGAATGGAAACCGTTGGCAGATTGTGGAAACTGAGTGTTTTAGAGTAAGCCCTAGGAACTTCTCTATAAATACATTTCTGGCTTTTTATACTTAGAGGATTAAACAAATTATTGGACAATAACTGTCTCTCCCAAAGAATCTTAATTTCTGGATTTGGAGAAAGGATTACATATAAAGAAGGAACTGTGCTGTTCTGGTCGACTGCGCATGTAATTAAAGACGGACTTACCTCAGTAGGATAAATAGGCTGTCTTTTAGCCCGCAGGGAGAGCTTTAAGCATATTTTAAAACTGAACACTTGCTTCTATTTTTAAGTCTCCAGAAATGATTATTTGACACAGGGAACCAGCCTTTGGGAATGAAACCGCGTGCTCAGATTTCAGCATTGCCAGCATTTTTTCTTTGTGATATGAGATGACTTGGCTGTCCCTTAAGTTATCTTGCATTTTTGTTGATTTCTACTGTTGCTTAAGGAACTTTTGCCTTTCTAACACACTTAGGACTCCAAATAATTCATGCCTCCTAGTTTGAGAAATTGTTGGGAAGGAAGCCTGATTAGGAAATAGAGATTGGCTGGCTGCTGGTCAAGTGAGAATTTAAGCTCACTTTTGAGTTATTGGCTGGATGGAGCAACCAGTGAGTTATTGCTTTATTTTTTGGTCTTGGTCTCTTTTAATGGTTGTACAGATAGAGGGATGTTCTGGCATCTAGACTGAGCTAGCCATAGAACTATATGTATGCACTAATAGCTGCTGATTTTCTGTTGGTATGAGATGGACTTTGCATGTCTACCTGCATCCTTCTGAAGGGAAAAAAGCAAATTATTACTTAGTCTATGTCCCAGGAAATACTAATGCTATTCTGCAGGTATATAGCACTTAGATAACATTTATGCTTTTCAAAACTATTTCATATTGTTGTCATTTCATGCTTACAACGTGAAAGCGACATGTTGTAACCTTGTAAATAAAATGTGGCAGGTATAACTCCCATTTGACAAAGGGGGTGCCGAGATATAAGTTAGGGGCTAGGTTAAGGTTGCTGGCTCAACAATAAATGATATCTCACTGTCTTTTATTTTTGAATTATAACTTTCATAAAATTTTATGGGAGGAAAAAACTGAACAGCCTTCTTTTTGTGGTTACTTTTTAGCGTCGTCTTAGACATCTTCGGAACATTGCTGCCCGGAACATTGTGAATAGAAATGGCCATCAACTCCTTGATACCTACTTCACACTTCACCTGTGTAACACTGAAAAGGTACACAAAGGTAAGGAAGGGATCCTGTGAACTTGCTACCCACAGATCATTACATCTCATTTTTATTCTTTTGTGACATAAGTGCCCCTTGCTATTACTGGTTACCCAAAAGCTAAATTGTCATGCTGTGACAATATTTCGTGAGCAGTTACATATATTAAAGAAACATGACATTTGTACAAAGTCAATATCCAGAAATTAAAGGAATTTCTGTACAACAACAATGAAACAGCAGAAGTAGAGATCAAGGAAAAAATCCCATTTGAAATAGCAAAAAGAAAAATAAAATATCTAGGAATAAACCTAACCAAAGAGGTAAAAGACCTGTATTCAGAAAAACTACACAACACTGAAGAAAGAAATCAAGGAAGACACAAACAAATGGAAACATATACCGTGTTCATGGATTGGAAGAATTAATATCATCAAAATGTCCATACTACCCAAAGCAATTTACACATTCAATGCAATTCCTATTAAAGTACCAATGGCATATTTCATAGACATAGAACAAACACTTCAAAAATTTATATGGAATTATAAACGACCCCAAATAGCTGCTGCAATTTTGAGAAAGAAGAGTAAAGTAGGAGGGATCACAATACCTGACACTAAACTATACTACAAGGCCACTGTAATTAAAACAGCCTGGTACTGGCATAAAACAGGCACATAGACCAATGGAACAGAACAGAGAGCCCAGAAATAAGCCCAAGTCTCTATGGTCAATTAATATTTGACAAAGGAGGAGGCAACATAAAATGGAGTAAAAATAGCCTCTTCAACAAATGGTGTTGGGAGAACTGGACAGCCACGTGCAAAAAAATGAAACTTGAGCACCAACTTACACCATATACAAAAAATAAATTCAAGGTGGATAAAAGACTTAAATATAAAATGTGACACCATTAAAGTCCTAGAGGAGAACATAGGTAGGAAAATCTCAGATATTTCACGAAGAAACTTTTTTACTGACTTGTCCCCTAGAGCAAGGGACATAACGGAAAGAATAAACAAATGGGACCTCATCAAAATTAAAAGCTTCTGCACAGCTAAAGAAAACCTTATCAAAATTAAAAGAACCAACTGTATGGGAAAACATATTTGCCCATGACACCTCAGACAAGGGTTTAATCTCCAAAATATATAAAGAACTTACAAGACTGCACTCTAAGAAGACAAGGAATCCAATTAAAAAGTGGGCAAAGGACTTGAACAGACACTTCTCCAAGGAGGACATACAGAAAATCCAAAGACACATGAAATGATGTTCAATATCGCTAGCTATCAGAGAGATGCAAATTAAAACCACAATGAGATACCACTTCACACCAGACAGAATGGCCATCATAAACAAAGCAACAAACAACAAGTGTTGGAGAGGTTGTGGAAAAAAGGGATCCCTAGTGCACTGCTGGTGGGACTGCAGACTGGTACAACCACTATGGAAAGCCGTATGGAACTTCCTCAGAAAACTAAAAATGGATCTGCCTTTTGACCCTGCAATTCCACTGCTGGGACTCTATCCTAAGAATACTAAAACACCAATTCAAAAGAACCTATGCACCCCAATGTTCATAGCAGCACAATTTACAATAGCTAGATGCTGGAAGCAACCAAGATGCCCATCAGTAAATGAATGGATCAAAAAACTATGGTACATTTACACAATGGAATTCTATGCAGCAGAAAGAAAGAAGGAGCTCCTACTCTTTGCAACAGCGTGGATGGAGCTGGAAAACATTATGCTAAGCGAAACAAGCCAGGCAGTGAAAGACAAATACCATATGATCTCACCTTTAACAGGAACCTAAATAACAAAACAAAGAAACAAGCAAAATATAACCAAAGACACTGAAATAGAGGCCAGGCTGACAGTGCCCACAGAAGAGAGTAGAGGGAATTTAAGGGGACAGTGGGAAGGGTTCACGGGAACAAACTTAAAGGACACATGGTCATAAACTAAGGGGAAGGTGGTAATGGGAGGGAAGTGGGGAGGGGTGGGAGGGGGGGCTGGATTGGGAGTAAAAAGGAGAAAACTGTATTTGAACAATGATTAAAATAAAATAAAAAAAAAGAAACATGACATTTGGATATTTCTTCCAGCTAACTGAATTTTACATTGATAAGTTTATTATTCCTTTATGAATGTTAGCGATTAATGTCTTTATTCCAGTAGCTATTATTTAAAATAGATTATATGAGTCTAGTATCCAGTACTAATTTGCTTCTCTTTAACACATAATTGGTTTCTTTAATATTATGATAAAACTGAGTCCTATTTCTTCTCATGTCTGTAATTCCTTGTGTATATTGAGTCATTTTCTAGAAGAATTGGCATTGTTTCTTTGAATTCAGCTTTATGTATTGAAATGTTGATTCTTCCACAAGTGACAGTTCTAAAAGTAGACCACATATTTGATTCCAAACCACAAGCATCTTTTGAATGCTTACTTGCTGGATGAAAGGCACTTTGGTACAGTCATTCGACCTTGTGTCGCTGGAGTAAGAGAGGAGGCAGGGGGCACTGGGCTAGGACTGAAAGCATCCATACCCGTTGTAGCTCAGCTGTTTAGTGTTTAGCTGTGTGACTTTGGGCAAAGATCATGGCTTTTTGAACCTCATTTTTCCCATTTGTGAAGTAGAGATAATGAGTCTTATGAAGCCAGCAAGACAGATTGTTATGAGGATCTACTGAGATAAGGTGATCACACTTGGCATGATGTTATTGAAGGTCTTCTTGTATTAATGAAAGGTGGCATTATGTGCTTTAATAAAAGTTACTAAGGGCTTGAAGTTTGTCCTGTGGCAAAAATGAAATATTTCAATGACATACATTTTTTGGTTTTAATTACTTTAAAAAACCATTGTTGAAGCAGTAGTTGTTTTAACAACTTTTTTCCTTTTTCAGTTTTAATATCAGCATATGCTCATTAAAAATTCAATCTGGAATTATATAGAGTAGAACTTCCCCCAAAGTAAATAGCATTAAAATAATTTTTAAGGATGAAAAAAGGACTCTAAAATCTACCATTTTCACATAATTTTATTCTTGTTTTCTATTCTGATCATTGCGCATTTTTAAAACAATTGTTGCAATCTGAAGATGAGTGCTAGCTACTGTGACAAATACCACCAGTCTCAGTGGCTAAACATGATACGTTTTCACTCTGTGTCCGGGGCAGGTGTTCTTCCTTGGGTGCTGTCCTGGCAGCTGCCGTCTGGGCCATGACACAGGTGTCCAGGCCCCCTGTTTGGGGGTGCTGCTGCCATCAACCCCCGACCTCTGGCTTGGCAAGAAAGGAGTTAGTTGAGGGAGGTTAAAATCTTTGATGGAAGAGGCCCAGCTCAGTTCTGTTACGTTCTGTTGGCCATAGATCTGCGTTGTTTCTTTTAGATGAAAAGGGGCCTGGGCAGTGTCTTCCTGTGTGTCCAGAAGGAAAACAGTTTGGTTGCTATTTGTCCCAAAGGTGTAAGCATTTTTGCAGATCTTAATACATTTGACCTACTGCTCACTAATTGCTTTTACCATTAGCAATGTCTGATGGAGCCAGAGTATTTTAAATGTTTGATATGTTTCTGTATAACCTATTCTTGGTTATCTTCATAGAACTTTTATGTCCTTGCTCCAGTTACTATGCTAATTACTACTAATTACCTCTGATAATAGTTATTAACATAGTACTTAGCACATCTTAGGTATTTGGTAAATGATAGCAGCTGCTATTAGAATTGTAATGTTAACAATCATAATAGTAGTTTCTAAAAAGAGCTGTTATGGAACTGGTTGATGACCTTGATGTAAAAACTTGCCTAAGAGATATGAGAAAAGTGATTTTTTTGTTCTTGTTTTTATATTTTGTACTAGCTCAAATCCTGATCTTAGAAATTATCATGGACTCTTTGTTGAGGTTATCTCAATAAAGTGATCATTAACACAATTAGGGAACAGCTGGTGACAGGCCACAGGGAAGCCCAGTGTCTGGTGGTGGTTTCGAGTCTGTCACTACCTGGCAAGCCCTTGGGTAGGGTGTTCAGTTAGTTTATCTCTAAGATGAGAAGACTGGTGATTTTCTGTTCCAGAAAATGTCATGGATGAACAGAGTCTGTTCATGGTGGTTTTATTGGACCCATGTCCTGGGTTCTGTAACTCTTATTTATTGTAGGAGCCAGGGAGCTCTTTCCTTACTAAACCAAGTTCATACCGCTTTCTCTTACTGGACTTGTGATGCCAAACACAGGTCTAATTATCCATCTCACGATTATCACATGGCCCTTGGTGTAGGATGAACATTGTAGAAAGCCAGTGGGCTCTTCGCAAAAAACCACATGCACCACCTGCTTAGTGGCATCATTTGTTAGTTTTAAAAGGAAGTTTTTTTTTTAATTGGAAGAATATCTGAAATGCTGATTTTAAGTTATCCTTTTATGTCAGCTGAATTCACAGCAGATCCTAAGAAGTTATACATGAGATTAAAAAAAATGGCATCTTTTAGCACTCATAGGAGACTATTTGCCTTTTAGGTAGTTTAATGCCAACACTAGTTATCACATCTCCAGAGCACAGTCTTGTGTTATGGGTGAGGACCTAGGTTTTAATCTTGGTTTCCTCTTAAACTTGAAATTTTTATAAAGTCAGTATTGTTCTCAAGCCATAATTATTTTCTCACCATGAAATGTGAGTGCCTGTCCTCTCCTGGAATGTCAGCCAGCTCTCTTGAATTCATCAGAAGACAAACTCTATATAATCCAATTTGGTGATCTCATTCAAGTCTCATAGTTTCAAATACTATTCATCGCTAACAGCTTGCAGGTTTATATTCTTAGCTTGGACCTCCCCTCTGGACTCATACTCCTATATTCAGTCGTCTGCATCTCTATTTGGAGTGTATCATAGATACTTAAACTAAGTTTCTGGAATTCCTGCTCTGAGTCACCTCCTGTATTCTTTCTTCTCTCAGAAAATAACAACTCCATCCTTTCCTTGGCTAAAAACCTTGGAATCATTCTGGATTGTCTTCTTTTATATCCCACATCCAGTCGTTCAGCAAATCCTTTTGGCTCTTCCTATCAAACTATATCCATAATCTAATCACCCTTTACTATCTCCAAACCACTGTCCTCTTTTGCTCAAATTGTTGAAGTAGACTTCTAGCAGGTCTGCCTCCTCATGTACTTCCGTCAGTATGTTCTCAACCGAGATCTTGTTGACATGGAAGTGAGATCATGTTATTCCTCTCCCTAAAACCCTCCTGTGCCTTCCCATCCTACTCAGTAAAAACCAAAATCCTTGTGGTTTTCTAGAAGGCCTTTTGTGATTTGACCCTCTGTGACCTCTCTGAATTCAGTTCCTTCTATTCTAGTTCTCTGTTCCAGCCACACTGATCTTCTTGCTTCTTGCTGTTCCTTGAGTATATCAAATTTGCTTCAGTTTAACTCTGCACTTGCTGTGTCTCTGGCCTGGGCACACTTTCCTCCTGATACTGACGAGCTCCCGCACCTCCTTTCTGGTCTTTACCCTGAGTGTTTGCTGAGAGGAACTCTCCTGATCACTGACTAAACCCTTTTCAAAATTGTGACTATTCTCCTCATGTCTTTTGTGCTTTATTTTTCTCCAAAATACTTAATATCATTTGACATACTATATGTTTAATTATTTGGTTAATGGATATCTCTCTCCACTAGCATGTAAACTCCATGTAAATTTGTAGGTCACTTTTGTTCTCACTGAACTATCTCCAATACTTGGAACAATGCTTGGCATATACTAAATTCTTACATATATTTTTTTTTCATTAATTTTTTGAATATCTAATGCAGTTCATGGTTCAGAGTATTTATAACATGCAGTTCTTGGCTCTCGTGTGTGTGTGTGTGTGTGTGTGTGTGTGTGTGTGTGTGTACATATACAGGTCTGTATCGAAGTCTTCCTCTCACCTGCTCTCTCTCCCTGGTTGTCCACCCCACCCTTCTGACCACTGTTACTCATTTCGTATTTATCTTTGCTGAGTCTCTTTATACAAATACAAATAAAATCAGTACCACACTATATGTATTTCTGTGCCTTGAAATTTTCACTTAATATGTCTTAAATGTTTTTCCACATTTAAAATGTTTTTCCATGTACTGATTGTTTTTTCACGTTGGTTTATAGAGAGCTTCCCTAATTTTCTGCATAGTTTTGCATTGACTAGATGTACCTTAAGTTATTTGGCTGTCTTCTGTTGGTAGACATTTATAGGTGGCCCCAGTCTTTTGCTGTATACCCAGTACTGTGTTGAATAACTTTATAAGCATGTTATTTTGTATATTCCAAGAAGCAGAAGTATAAAGAGAGTGCATATTCACAGTTTTGGTAGATACTAGAAAATTATCCCCGTTTGCATTCCCACTTGCTACATCTTTACCCCCAGAGCCTCACCAGCAGGCTGTACAATCAAGCTTTAGAATATTTGCCAATCTGATAGGTGAAAACAGTTTTATAGTGTAGTTTAGGATTGTGTTTCTTCTATTGTGAGTGACGTCATGGTACTAAAAAGGCATCTGTTGAGTGAGTGGAATGCTGCCTAACAGCCAGAACATGCCGCCGGAACCAGGCCCTGCAGCCTCCGATTGCCTTGCTTCTTAGGCCTGGGCATGGGTGGGAAAATGTTTGTATCTAATGGTTCCTTTCATATAGAAATAGATATCGGATAATCTTTTTTTGCTCAAATTGAATGAATAAAAATTAATAGATTGTATTAATAAAAATAATTTAAAATTCATTATATCATTTGAGCCTCACGAGAACCCTGTTATTTTTCAGGTGTCCCTCTCCTTTGAAAGGCAGAGACACTGGCCCCAAAAGCTTGACTTGTCCGGAGTCCAGCTGACATGCGGTCTGTGTGGGACTGGGCCTGTTTTGTGACTCTGAGTCCACTGTTCTGTTTTTCCCCGTGCCCTGTGCTGCTCACTTTATTGACAATGTTTTAGATGTAACAATGATAGTGTAGGCCCCTGGTCAGCATGTTAGCAATTACCTCAGAGTCCATGATTTCTTTCCAAATTGTGTGACTTTGTTGACCTCTCTGCATTTAAATTAGCCATTTAGCACGTCCATTTTGAGGGTCTCATGAAGGAGGAAAATTGCTTAGTTTAATTTACACAAACAGCAAAATTTTGAAAGAAATAATGATACTGTTAATCTTCTAGGAGCTAGAGATATTTTAAGGAACTATTTAATAGTTTAATTTAACTTTGCAGATTAAGCTGAGGAATTCTCTCAAAGAAAAAAGAGTATTTTAATTTGTTTACCACAGATTTTAAAAGTAATACATATTGTAACAAATTCAAATAATAAAAAATGTAAAACTATAAAGTGAAAGTACTCTGTTATAAAAATACCTTTTTAGTTCTTTTAGTCTTTTTTTTTCTAAAAATATGTATGGTGTATGTAAATTAGAATCTGTATATATACAAATACCTCATACATATGTATCTATAGTTAATTCATGGTTGGAATAATTAGCCATTTGGGGAAAAATTAAAAAGAATAATACTTATGGTTGCCCAGTCTAGCAGACACAGGTATTTTCGCAAGTGGGATTATAAATTGGTACAATAGTTTTAGAGAATAATTTGGCAATATTTATCAAATTCATGTTTTTCTTTTTGTCTTACAATTTCACTTCTAAAAGTTTATCCTATAGAATTAAATGTCTTAGTATATATGTCTTTAAAAGGTTGTTTATTTATAACATTACTTGAAATATCTAAAAAATAGCAGTAACCTAAATGTTCATCAGTAGGAGATATTTATTTTTTCATCCTCATCTGAGGATGTACTTACTGATTTTAGAGAGAGAGGAAGGGGGAGAGAGAGACAGACAGAGACAGAGAAAGACAGAGAGAGAGAGAAACATTGATGTGAGAGAGATACATTGATTGGTTGCCTCCTGTATATGCCCCTACCAGGGATCGGACCCACAACCTAGGTATGTGCCATTTCCGGGGGTTGAACTCACAACCTTTTGGTGTATGGGGTGACACTCCAACCAACTGAGCCACATGGCCAGGCCAGTAGGAGATTCTTTTTAAAGATAATTAGAATTATCCCTTTCTTTATTTCAAATAATAGTTCAAGATAGAAAAATTAGAAAACTTCCAAGCAAAAACTAAAAGTAAGCAACTTTTACCATCTGAGATAAACAGTGTTAATATAATTATAAAAATTTGGATCCTGTAGTAAATTCTTAGAATGTATTTTTTTTCACTTAATACATTGTGACGATCTTTCCACAAAATAGTTTTATCCTGTCTGTTCTTTAAAACGAAGACCAGCGTGGACTAATGTGGGTGATGTGTGTGTCAGGAAGTGCGTTCACCGGAAGAGGTTGCCTGAGAGCGTGGCGCGGTGCGACTGCTCTGTGCTCACTGCCAGCCAGTTCCCAAGCTGCAGCTGTTGTTAGTGAGATGCCTTGACAAGTTGCACCACTTTTGAGTTTTACCTATACTGTCGCAGGCTTAATCTATTTTTTAAAGTTCATTATTTTTAAACTTCTGTCTAAGAGTAATATGTGAAATTGTTGATTCAAAAAAGTGAAGAGGTCTACCCTGTACCAGGGCAACTTGCCTTGACAAGTTGCACCACTTTTGAGTTTTACCTATACTGTCGCAGGCTTCATCTGTTTTTTAAAGTTCATTATTTTTAAACTTATGTCTGAGAGTAATATGTGAAATTGTTGATTCAAAAAAGTGAAGAGGTCTACCCTGTACCAGGAACGGTTTCACGGGCTGAGGAGACAGCGGTTGTACAAACCAAACATGGCTCCTTTGTGGAGCTTACAGTGAGGGGTTTAATGTATGAGTCGGAAGTTTCAGTATGTTAGAAACAATAGCTATCTATGTATCACTTAAAGTCACCCCAAGTGCCAGCGGTATGTGTGCACATAGCACTTGAGAAACAGTCCCCTTCAGCAACCTCAGGATACAAAGGTCATTGTAAGCTCTTCAGAGACAGCATCGGGGAGGTGACTTTGGCAGGGTCAACAGGGACTGTTGGAGGGTGGCCGGAACCTCTACCCGAACCTCTGTCACGTTTCTCTCTTTTGTGTCTTTAAGTTTTGTAACATTTACGACATACTTGAAGGTTTGTAGAATCATGAAATTTTAATGCTTATAGAGGACCTTTGGTTATTAGTCTAATTCTCTAAGTTGTCTAATGAAAAGTGGTCCCAAAGAAAGTTAAAGGGACAGAATATTAATGATAGGTGGAACTAGATGTAAGGTTATTTGGTTGCTAGATCAGTACTCATTCCATAATACCACTGTGCATGATCACAACAGATGTTTGAGAAGACGGAGCATGTGGAATCAGCTGTAGAGAATGGCAGTCGGTAGGGGAGAAGAAAGTCTTAGCATTAAGGACACAGATTTGAATCTAGGGAAATAGGAGCCAGTAAAGTAAAAATCACTAGCTTAAATCTCAGTTGGTTTTGACTTTTCTTTACTAATGTTTTTCCCTTTAAAATACTTTAATTTAATCTTTATTTCTATTTTATTTTTTACAGATAAAGATATAGAGAGGATCCATACCTTGAAAATGTTTTAAGAGTTACACTGAAACCTGTTAAACGATTTACCAGACTGAGAGTTAATGAGCTTATTTTCTTCCAAGTCACTTATTGTTTTTTTTTCTTTTTTTTCCAGAATTTTATAGAAGTGAAGTGATTAAGAATTCCTTGGTAAGTTTGACTTCTGACAGGTACATATGTCCAAACCTACAATTCCTGTCTCAGCAAATGCTGAGACATAAAATAAGGTCAAGTTCAGTTCTGGTACTGTGATCCTTCTGTAGTTAAATCTTCTGCTTATTTACACTTCAGTCTTCATCGATTTGCGTGTTGCTGTATCTCTAGTGCTTAGAGCTTGCCTGGCACACAGCAGGTGCTGGAAAAATATTTGCTAAATGAACTGGTATTTTTTTCTTTTAAAAAATCGGTGTTTTTTTTTTCAACTCAGATTTTATAATTCTATCACTTCTATTTACTATAGAGATTTTTTACTTACCATCATTGTAATACATGAAATCTTCGTTTAGATTTAGTTCTTAAAAATTTTGTGTCCAGGGCCATTGTCTAGGATCCTCCTACTTGTTTATGGCAATGCCATCACTCAGTTGGAAATTTGGATGTGTCCTACTTTTGATACTCTGTTCACTTGATATTTGCATACATGGCTTAATTTATTGGGCCATGTTCATAAAAAGAAGAGCTTTATGGTAATGATAATATCCCTTTAATGGTCCAAGACCATACTGGAATTGGCTACTGTCCACATTTTTAAACCTCACCTTCTAATACCTTTTCTCACTCACTGTCTCCCAGGCGTACCTCAGTTTTTTTTAGTGCGTCGAACATGCCAAGCTTATTTGTTCCTTATGCTCTGCTGGAACAACTTGTTTTTCCAGCTGTTCGTGTGGCTGAAGAATTCTTTGAGGTCTCATCTCTGTCATTCCAGCTAGGCCTTCTATGACTATTCCATCTGAAGTAGTTCTCTTTCCCCTATTCACTGTTTTTCCCATCACCTGTTTCATTTTCTTCAAGCGTTCATCACTATTGGAAACTCTCATTCACTAATTTGTTCATAGGTGTTTATTTACTATCTGTCTCCTATGTGTGAGACCGTTCGCCCGTGAGAGTGAGGACCGTGGCAGCCGTGTTCACCTGTGCGATCCTGCGGTGTAGAGTAGTATGGATGCTCAGTGATGAGTATTTGTTAGATGAATAGGTGGATATCAGTGATGTGTTGTATTTGCAGAAGCCTTGTACATATGTTATCCCATTTTGATCCTTAGAAAAACATGTAGATAGGGTAGGTCTTAAGAAACTGACACACAGGGGGGCCCAACAACTCCTGCAGTTGTGCAACTGCGAGACTAGAACCTCAGTTTCTAGACCTTCCGGCTTAAAGTTTCTACTACTCTCTCCTCTTAATCCAATAGTCTTCCAAATATCTCAAATATCGTAATAGATCCTAGGCCAACCAGCTTCCTTAAGTCCGTCTCTGAGTAGCTCCAGTCATCAGTAAACGTCCTCATACATTACATGATTCATGATAAATGACTAGCACCATCCCTGACACATAGTAGCTACTGAGTAAATATTAATTTTTCCTTTTCTTCTGGCTTAGGTGGAAATAGGAATGGCCCATAGACAAGTGAGAGCAGGGGAAGGGAGCAGAAAGAGTAGATGTCACTTGGATTTATCTACTCCCCTTTCCATAGTCAAAACTCCAGTTGGAGATGGTTTTACATCTCATTGCGTTTTCTCTGGATTTGTATCATAATGGACACTATGCTATAGTGGTACCTTAGTGTATTACTCTGCATTATTAGTATTGTATTTACTTGATATTCAGTTGACTTCCACATCCATATTTCTGAACATCCTCTCTCTGAATGTTCACTCCTATCTTCAACTCCTTTCGACTCTTGTCTTCTGACCCGTTGATGAATTGTGGTGTCTTCATCCCTGGTGTACTTAGGCTAAATAGTGTTTTGTAAACTGGATTCCAGATGAGCAAGAGGGTTGGACAAAAAGACTCCCAAGGTCCTTTCAACTTACAGTTTTCTACAGTGGTGGTTTCCTGAGTGTATCACTGATCAACATTTGCCTGCATTGTACTTATTCATGAGCATCTCCCCTCCTAAAGTAGAGGAGGTTGGAGACTGCCCGAATACCTTCATGTCTCCTTAGCTCCCACTGCATTCTGTTGGGTAGTCGTTTGTGAAATGTTGATTCATTGGTATTTCCTTTTCAGGATATTCTTTAAGATTATGATGTTTTTGGGAAGGATTGTAAGTTTGGTAAACTTCAATTCATTTTTTTTCTTTTGAAAGGAGTCTTAGCTTTTTGCTAAATCATTGCGACTGGTTCAGATTAATAGGCATTTAGCATCACAGGAGTCAGTGACCCCCTGGGAATGTGCTGGGGATGTCACGGTGTCACCTCCCTTCTTGCTGTCTCTGAAGAACCACAGATGAGCAGAATTTGTTGATTTTTTTCCCTGCTCAGGAGTTTAATTCTGAAACTAGTTGATATATGCTGAATAGAATTAGTGATTGAAATGATTTTATTCCTCCTGGTTGCCACTGTGCTTGGCATATAGAAGTTGCTCAGCAAATGTTTCTTAATCAATGGATTCATCCACAAATATTTTATTGACTGATGTCTAATTAGCTACTGAAGGATTAGGCAAAGTAATACTTTTTTGCTGAGCTTTCAGTAAATTTTCACTTGGGTAAACTAGGATGGGCTCTGAGCTTGTGAATAATCTTTTTCACTCACATAACTTTAAGGATTTGACTGTTTTCCCTAGGTTTATATTCTGAGCTTGGTCCTTAGACCAGAGTGGCCTGGTTTTGCCATTCTTTTTTTTTTTTTTAAGTTTTAAAAAGGATTTATTTATTTATTTATTTATTTATTTATTTATTTATTTATTTATTTATAGAGAGGGAAAAGGAGGGAGAAAGAAAGGGAGAGAAACATAGATGTGAGAGAGAAACATTGGTTGGTTGCCTCTTGTGCTCCCAACTGGGCGCCTGGCCCGCAACCCTGGCCCTGACTGGGAATGGGACCAGCAACCTTTCGGTTCACAGGCCAGTGCTCAGTGCACTGAGCCACCTCAGCCAGGACAGTTTTTTTCAAAAAATTTTATTTATTTATTTAAAAAAATTTATTTTTAGAGAGGGGAAGGGAAGGAGAGAGGGAGAGAAACATCAATGTGTGGTTGCCTCTCACATACCCCCTACTGTGGGACCTGGCCCGCAACCCAGGCTTGTGTCCTAGACTGGAAATCCAGCTGGAGACCCGTTGGTTCGCAGGCCAGCAGTCAATCCACTGAACCACACCAGCCAGAGCTTTTTTTTACTCTATGTTTTTCCATCACTATTTCCGCCTCCCATACTCTCTTACACCTCTACCCTCTCCTTCCCACCCTGCAGTTTTGCCATTCCAATGTCAAAGGCAACATGGAAAAATGGACACAAGATTAAAAAGAGTGTTTTCTCTAAAGGTTAGGTAAACTGTCCTTACGTTCCTATCCTGTGCCTCTCACTCCTGAACACTCCAAATTAGTGCTGTCCAATCACCTTTATGCGCTGATGGCAGTGTTCTGTCACTGTCCCGTACAGCCACCACTAGCTACATGTGGCTGTTGAGCACTTGAAATGTGGTTAAGTGTTACTGAGGAACTGAATCTTTAGTTTTATTTAATTTTACTTTAAATAGCCACGGTAGCTAATGGATGTAGTATTAAACAGTGCAGTTGTAGACGCTTCTGAAAAGCTTTCTTACAATCTGTAATATAGCAGGAAGAAATTTCTTTTTTTATGTGTGCTTTAAAAAACATACACTTTGTACTTACACTGCTAGTACTGTTCTAAGTCAGTATAATAGCTGCTCATAGGGCGCTGTAGGTCCTTTAATGTGCAAGATGACCTCATGAAGGCAGGGGCTCGGTGTGCATCAGCCTCGCATCTTCCATGGGCATTGTGTTGTGCTGGGCTTGTTCTTGGCAAACAAGTGAGGAGAAACCAATTTATAGTGTGTGTGTGTGTGTGTGTGTGTGTGTGTGTGTATATGTATATCTCCTAATCCGACTTGTCAGTTGTAAGACTCAGCAGCATCTTATGTTCACCAAGAAAAAATAAACACTTGTGTTTGAACTGAAACACAGGGCCTTGGCAATAGTCCAGTGTGAATTGTGATTCAATCTTAGGAATCTTTTATTACTTTGAAATTTGTTTCGCCCATTTTAAGGGAGTATTTATGTAGCGGTTTTTTTTCCTTCAGGTTCATTGCTTGACCTGTGATAGGGAATCTTTTCTATGTACTTCAGCAGTAAAATATAAATCTGCTTCCTTAATTTGTGGGAATTTTCTTTTCTTCAGTCCCATAAAGAAGATGGGTGAGGTTCTTTCTTCATTGACAGATATTTGTTTCTCTAATACCAAGTTCATGCCGTGTTGCTCTTTTTCCGGGCCTTCTTGCCTCCATAAAAATGTAATACTTTTTATTGAATTTTAACATACAGATGACTTTACAGATCTTAAATATATATCTTGGTCATTATTTTCAAATCGAATACACCCACGTAACAACTAGTGTCTACGTGAAGAAGCAGATTTTCAGTGCCCTAGAAGGCCCCTTGCCCCTCTGCAGTTTCTGCTACTCTCTCGACTTCTAACATCGTAAGTTAATTTCACCCGTTTCTGAACTTTATGGAGATGAGACCGTATGTTGTGCACTCTGTCATGTCTGACTTCCGCGTCTTAACTTTCTATTTGAAGAGTCACCATTATTATTGCCAGGATGTATTTGTAGTTTGTTTTGTAGTATTCCATTCTGTGAATATACCAGAATGTGTCCAGTCTTCTACTGATGGTTAGTTTCTAGTTTTGAGCTAAGGTGAGTAGTGTTGCTATGAACTTTCTTATATACATCTTTTGGATGTATGAATGCCTTTCTGTTGGGTATATATGTAGGAGTGGACTTGGCTTGGAATATGCATGGGACCAGCTTTGGTACACAGTACCAAACAGTTTTCCAAATTTATTGTTTCATTTACACTCTCACTAGCAGTCTGTGAGAGTTCTGGTTACTTGTGAGCACTTTGTTATTTCTTTACTATTAAATTTAAATTTTTGATAGATATTATACACAAGACTCCTTTTGTTTAAATCTAAATCAACAAGGGTATTTTATTTTATTTTTTTATTTTTTAAAGATTTTATTTGTTTAGTTTTAGAGGGGAAGGGAGGGAGATAGACAGAGAGAGAGAGAAACATCGATGTGTGGTTGCTGGGGGTTATGGCCTGCAACCCAGACATGTGCCCTGACTGGGAATCGAACCTGGGACACTTTGGTTCCCAGTCCGCGCTCAATCCACTGAGCTACGCCAGCCAGGGCTACAACAAGGGTATTTTAAATGTCAGTTAAACTCAGCACACTTAGTGCCAACACTGTGCCTAACTTAGAACAGTTGACACTAACAACTGCCACTTTTAAGGTTGTGGCCACTTTTAAGGTTGTGCCTGTGGAAGCAGTAGATGACTGCCACCTGGTGGTCAAATATTATAGGACTGTATTGTTTTCACGTTTCTAAAGTCAGAATTCATCTTATAAAGTGAAGAAAAGTACATACTAGAATTGTTAAATTGGTATATGTTAAGTGGCAGTAAACATAGTGGAGTAAAGTAAAGCAGCAAAAAGGAGTATTTGGCAGGGGTGCTCGCCTGTGTTTCTATGGTAATCCTATAGAAGAGGATCATTTGAGCAGACACCTGAAAGATCTAAGGGAACAAACTGTGCGTCTGTGGGGGAAGACTGTTCCAGGCCAAGAAACAGGAAAGTACAAAGGCAGGAGAGCACTTGAGGTTTTTACGACATGGCTAAGAAGTTAGCATGGCTGAAGTGGAGTGAGCAGGCCAGGTTTTGCCAGGCAAATGTGACAAAGGGGGGGCCAAGGAACTGAGCACCTGGCAGCAGGGGAATGACCTAGAGAGACAGATGATAGCAAAAGGCTGGATGGCGTAAGAGTAAGATTTTGGAAGGGATAAAGTTACAGGTCATGCACAATTAGGAGCATCTGGTGGACAGGCATCCTCGGCTTACTCATTTTCCTATATTCTAATGTCCTGGCACAATGCTTTACCCAGAAAAGGCCAATAAATGTTTACCGCATTGAGTAACAAGAATTATCCACCTTTGACAGGTTAGATGGTGGAGATGTGCCTGCAAGTTATACATCAGAGTGATGGTTTCTTCTAAGATATATTTAGCATAAAATAATTACTGGTGAAATGTATTATTCAGCTTTAATGTCTCTGGCTTCAGCTAGCCACGCCCTCCAAACTGTTTGTTAACTCTTGGGAACTTTGTTATTTTTGGTTCAGGAGGAGGTTATAGCCTTAACATGATTGAAGGGTCATTGGTAATAACTAAAATGATAGAAGTAGTAAGAATGGAAGGAACCGAATTCTCTAAAGTGGATTTTGTACATGCACAAGGGACAAATTGTAGTGAACCCATTTGTATCCATCTTTAATGATTACAAAATTAATTATTAGATAAACTTTTAAAGGGGAGTTTTATAACTTTTATTAAAAAATTTAAAATCTCATGGTGGGAGTAAGAACAGTGATAGCTAATTCATGTGTGCTTTTTAATACATAAAGGGTATTAATTATTAAGCACTCATTTGTAATTCAAGTAGGGTGCTGGCTGCAATATATGTATTGTTTCTTATTCTGATAACAGTGCTACAGGGTAAGCGATATGCTTGTTTTATTAAGGAAACTGAGGTTCAGGCTGAGGAACTTGCTCTGGACTGTAAAGCTAGTGGTGACTCATAAAACTGCTGTCCCAGAGCCCTGCTCTTTTGCAGCATCCTGTCGCTTCCCTGTACCACACTCCTTCAACTGATGAAATGTCTCCTAGAGTTAGACTAGCCGAAGTCAGTGATGGGCCTCACAATTGAGTAAACAAAGTTCTAGGGCATATGTTTTTTAGGGAAAGCATGTAACAATTTATCAGAACCATAAATTTATGTTGGAATTGAGACTGCCTGAGCTCTTCTTTAATAAAAAAAAAAAGATTTTATTGATTTATTTTTAGAGAGAGGGGAAGGGAAGGAGAAAGAGAGGAAGGAAAACATCAATGTGTGGTTGCCTGTCACGTACCCTCTACTGGGGACCTGGCTGGCAACCCAGGCATGTGCCCTCACTGGGAATTGAACCAGCGACCCTTTGGTTCACAGGCCGGCACTCAACCCACTGAGCCACACCAGCCAGGGCTGCCTGAGCTCTTTTTAAATCTTTGGGGAAAAACTGACATGAACAGCACAAATAGTCATTTATGAGATACTGGCCTGAATGACTCTCAAAGTTTATGTTTCTGTTCAATTGTCACTGAATGAACTAGCTTTTCATCTTTGCAGGTGTGAGTCTGTGACTAGGGAGTTGGCTTCTCTTGATGATGCCAAATTATGTTACTCCATGTTACAGTACATTGTGTTTAGGGTTTTCCGACTTTGTTCTGGTCAACTACATGATTTGGAGGGAGACTGATATAATTGACACATGCAATTATTTTACCAGGGAAGAAGAGGATACTATGAAAATATGTAGAAGTATTATTTATCTCAGTTTGGGATAGGGTGGTTAGTAAAGGTTTCTACCAATAAGTAATTCCTGAGTCAAGACATGAAGATGAATAGAGGTGAATGAAATGGGAAAGAAGAGTTTATTGGGCTGAGGAATAAATACCGCTTACAAATTCAGTACGCAGTTCCTAAGAGAGTGAGCTGTCTTGTATGTTTTGAGAAAGTTGGAACGTCTTTTATGAAGCTTTAGCTGTGTTTCTTGTGACCACACATTTGTTATTGAGTATTAAGAACAGTGATAGCCTAGTTTGTGTGTTTTGAAAATTTTCTATTTTTGTGTATCTCTTCAATTAAATAGGTATGAATTGAGCTGTTAATGATCATTGTTGTAAAGAAATTGTTCTGGTAATAAATAATAATTTTACATTCACTGTGGGTAGTTAATGGGCTGTGAATTTTTAACGATATGTATATCCTGACATTCTGCCACTGTGAATTAGTGATTAATATGGTTTAGGTCCCTAAATGATGTAGGTACTTGAATAATTTGTTCTTTCTAGAAAGCAGGCTGGTGTGTTTAGATAAATATAAATAAAAATCATTTTATGGGTTGTTTACAATAACATTATTGAGCAATAAATCTTTGAATGTGTGGCAGACTGTATCTGCCAGCATCTGAATGCACCAACTCGGGCCTTATTGCTCATTGCCTGGCAGCTATTTTATAAAAGTATAAAGGAAGGCCACTGTAAGTAGACTGACAATAGCTCTATTATAGTCATAGAGCTGTATTATTGTATTGACTTAGGAGAGAAACCCCAGTCTCCAGCCACATGAAATAACTTCAAAAGACTACTGTTCACTCCAAAGGTTTTTAATTTATTTTAGAATGAAGTATTTAGGAATATTTAATACAGCTACTACCTCCAAAATCTTATCCCTCCTGTAATACAGCTCTCAGATATATTCACCAAGTCTTTCTTTTTTTCTACTTTGGAGAGCAGTGGATATTTCATGCATTTTCTGGGGCTTATCATTGACAGTGAGGTTTTGAGGTTATTTTGTATTCTAGAGCACACGTACTCCGTCAGAGGGGAACACACAGGCCAGTGAATGGCTGCCTTTTCAGGTGGTGTAATTTGAAGGACAGGAAGGTCCTCCCGCTCCTGTTACTGAGGCTTTAGGGCTTAAAATTACCTTCATTTCATTTGTGAGATGCTGTATTTTCCCCATTATTGGGTCTTTTAAAAATTAGTTTTATTACTTTTTGTTGAGATACAGCACGTTAAAGGGCACAAATAATCGCCTGATGACTTTTCAAAGGGATCAGTGTAACCAGATTAAGAAATGCAGCATCAGCACCTCTTGTGTTTTCCCTCTAGTTACCACCCCCTCCAAAGGAGAACTGTTGTCCTGACTGTTAGCACCAGAGGTTAGTTCTGGTAGTTTTTGAACTGGCAGGTTTTGAAAATATGGCATATATTCTTTGCTGAATATAGTATTTGTGAGGTTCATCCATGTTGTTGCATGTGGTAGTTCATTAACCCTAAAACCTTTCAGTGGCCCCACACCTTATACACAGTAGAGGACAGCTGCTTCAGCAAGGCACAGAGGTCACCCCCCTGGTCCCGTCTCCCCCCCACCTTGTCTCCTGTCGCTCCTGTGTGTGTGCTCCAGCAAACAGAAGTTGGAATCTAGTGGGCTCAAGGTGCTTTGAGGACATTGTTTCTGTGTTGGTTCTTGATAAGTGTGCCTTAATTGTTGAATAAAGAAATAGATTATCAGATGATTAAGGATATATGCCCCTTTTAATGACTACAATAAGCAGAGCTGTTTTAAAATACCATTATTACCCACCCCTGTTGTGTTAATTGGAGTGTCTTCTTGGTTGACTTAAGTTTGTAATTTAATACACTCATGAAGTCTTTGGTTTTCAAAAACAAAATGATCTACAATCTAATTGAAAGAACTGTAAACAAGTTAGGGTCCTCCTAAAGCATGCTTTTGTTTCCATCAACAGAATCCAACGTGGCGGAGTCTGGATTTTGGAATAATGCCGGACCGTCTTGATACGTCTGTGTCCTGTTTCATGGTGAAGATATGGGGTGGGAAGGAGGATGCCTACCAGCTGCTGATCGAGTGGAAAGTTTGCTTGGACGGACTCAAGTACTTGGGTCAGCAGGTAATGTTGAGGCTGCCTTCCAGATAGTTGTCTTCTCTATATTAACCTCTTCTTCGGACCCACGTTTTATGATTGTTTACATAATTATAGAAATTTGGATCAAGTATAAGAAAAAGCTTGAATTGAAAAGCTTATGAAGAAGGACCCTAATCTGCTAATTTAAAAGGGATTTTTTTTTTGTAGGAAAGAATATGCTTTTTCATAGCACCAGGCTTCTTCTGTCTTAATGGAGCTCTTCCCCCCAGAATCTGAAAATTAAGTTGAAAATAAGGAACAAGGAACATACTATTAATATTAAACACCTTTTGTGACCAGCAGCACTGGGGTGTTTTAGGAATAAGAAGAGCTAGTTACTGCTTTTGGGGCACAGGGATGACACATGCCTGGCTTGCAAACTGCTACCCATTCCCCGTGAGGGATGTGGCCAGGTGATCACAGTGCTCTTCCAGCTGAGCTCAGGAGTAGCGCCATGGTCCTTTCTAACACAGTGTTCCAGGATGCAACCAGCAGTGCATTAGGACTGCATGTGAAATGAAATCTATTTGCCATTCCTAGACATAGCTTATTATAGTTAACGTTAATGGCAACCTTGTGAAGGTTGATATTAATTGCTGTTATTTCCCAGATAGGAAAATTGGGCCTCAGGGAATTTAAGAAACTGCTTAAGATCACACAGCTAGCTGGAGCTAAGATTTAAATCCAGATCGGGCTAAGTTAAAAATTCACTGTCTTTGTGCTGCAGCACACTGGTGTATGCTGTTCCCCCCCCCCCGCTTTACCTCGGAGTGCATGCTATTTTGGTTTTCTGGTGCCCGTAGGACTACTGTTAAAGGTAACCCTAAAATGTTAGTCATACCTACAAACATCCCTGTTGTTTCTTAATATTTTATTTAATAATACATAAGTTGTGTATATTTCTTTTTTAAAATTGTTTTCAATTATATTTTATTGATTATGCAATTATAGTTGTCCCAATTTCTCCCCCTTTGCCCCCTCCACCCAGCACCCCCCACTCCCTCAGGCAATTCCCACACCATTGTTCATGTCCATGGGTCATGTGTATAAGTTTCTCAGCTACTCCATTTCCTGTACTGTGCTGTACATCCCCATGGCTATTCTGCAACTACCTATTTGTATTTCTTAATCCCTTCACCTCTCTACCATTCCCCTACACCTCACTCCCATCAGGCAACCATCAAAATGCTCTCCCTATCCATGATTCTGTCTCTCTTCTTCTTGTTTGCTTAGTTTTTTTTATTCAACTGTTGATAGATATGTATATATTGACATTTTATTGTTAATAGCTTTGATCTTCATTTTCTTAAATAAGTCTGATGTGGTCTGTACCTGTCCACTGGGTGCACAGGCCCTGGGGTTTCCCAGGTGGTGCAGGCCAAGGTCAGCCCCCATCTGTGTTCTGCCCAGGCCACCCTGCCTGAGCTATAAAGCTATCTGAGATGGTGCTACTTGTGCTGGGCTTGGAGATTCCCAGACGAAGCTAAGCTGTGAATCTAGGCTGACTGCTGCTAGTGCTGGGCCTGGGGCCTCTTAGCAAGAGGTACAGGGATGGGGGCTTACTGAGGCCAGCTGTTGCTTGTTTGATAGGATTTAGGAAGTTGTGAAGCCGGAGACAAGAACAGCCATTCATATGGAAAAGTTATGTTTAACAGTTTGGTATACCCAAGTTGGGTGGGACAGAGTCTCAGGGGATCTCCAGGGTGGGGCAAATAGTATTAGCCAGGTTGATGGAGTCTCAGATGTGGCACCTGCCTGCCAGCTGTGTGGCTCTATGGTTCTGTGGGGGAGGGCTCAGATAAGGGACAGTGGTCTTTGCCCATCTTTCTGTCTGGGAGGAAGCTGTCTCCCAGCTCCTGCCCTGGTGCCAGACCCTTCACGTCCTCCCTGCATGCCACTGGTGCCTTTCAAGCTGCTACCCTGGCACTGGAGCCCACAGGGAGTGAGTCTGAGTAAGTCCGTGTGTGGGTTCTTTAAGGGGAACTGCTTGGGACTCTAGAAGTCCCTTCCACCAACTCAATCACTGCTGGTTTTTGCAGCCAGAAGTTATGGGGATTTGTCTTCCTGGCGACTGGAACCCTGGGCTGTGGGGCCTGCTGTGGGGCTGGGATTCCTTGCTCCCAAGATTTCCCTCCTGAAATTTTATCCACCACATGTGGGTGTGGGGCCAGGCTGTTCCATGACTCTGCCTCTCCTACCAGTTGGATGGATGTGGTTTCTTTAATTCCTTACTTGTCAGACTTCAATTCACCTCGATTTTAGATGGTTCTGAGTGAGAGTTCTATATTTTAGTTGTAATTTGGATGTGGTTGTGCAAGGAGGCGAGCTTTGTTTCCTTATGCTGCCATCTTTGATGTGTGTTTCTTTTAAACATATTTTCAGATTAAAAGTATTTCTGCCCTCATTTGCTTACCATACTTCATTTTGTGTCCTCTTAATAGTGACCAGAACAATGCATGTAATAGATGTTTTCCTTAACTAAATTCTAACCTGCTATAAGTTCTTAATCTTTTTTATTTTTGTATTTTTTTCCTCTGTTTTACATCTGGTCTTAATTAAAAATGGTAAGATAATGACTTAGGCTCAGGGCCTTTCTCCTGTTTGAGTACCAGAAACTTGTTGCATTTAGGCTGGCCAGCCAGGGCCCAGAGCAGAACCACCTACCCTTTCTTCCCTCAGGCCGTAGTAGGCTCTCTGTGGGCAGGCTGTGATATTAAGCACCTGTTTACTGTTCTTCTGAGAGCATCTGTATTTTGTGGAGGATAGTGCTCTTAACATGAGAGTGTGGGTCTGCAGGCGATAGAGTTGTGGTGGTTTGGCCGGAGAAGATGGCCTTCCTCATACTTTTCAACTCGCACGTTCCTGAAGTTGTCGTTTGATTAAAATACCTGACTTTGCTTGTGTCTCACCTGCCTTAACTTCAGAGTGTCAGCATCCAGGTGTCATCATACAAAGCTGGCTATGTTGGTAGAACAGAGAACAAAAGAAAAACAACATGTTTTTTAAGCCAATTAGAAACAATATTATTGTAGAAATGAAAAACTTACCTATGAAATAGGTGTAACAACTTAAAGGCTACTAGAAAATCAGATAAAATAGAATTAATTGCAAGTTTTTAGAGGAAAGTAAGACTAAAATATATGAGGACAATAACTGGTTTCACTCAGATTCATTGGTCTGCTTTCTGCCAGGCATTGGTCTTAGTGTTAAGGATCCAAAGATAAGAGGAGATTGTTAGACCCCCTTAAACCACAGGTGGCAAACACAAGGCCCTCGGGCCGAATACAGCCCTCCACCTTGGTTTATCTGGCCTGGCACCTGGTTTCTACCCAGCAGCAGTGCCAAGCTCCTTGCCCCTAATTAAGGAGTAGTTACATTTATACAGTCCTAAAATTACAGTTAGCCCTTTGAAGGCAACTGTGAGGCTGATGTGGCCCCCGGTGAAAATGAGTTTGACACCCTACCATAAACTGAGAACATGAATTGCTATGTAGAAAGCTGTAGGAGTACATGAAAGAGGTATTTAGACAAGCCTGGGTAGAGTCAGGGAGGCTGACTGTGGAATGAAATTTTTGTTTTTTTATGAATTAGGTTTGTTGAGGTGTAATTTACATATATTTCAGTGAATTTGAAAAATGTATAAAATTGATCAACTACCACTACAGTGAATAATGTCTATATGGATATTTAAATAGAGGTGTTTTTGTTGATATATGCTGTCATTTTCCTTGAGTAAATACCTGGGAATGAAATTTATTGTCCTAATGGTAAGTGTATGTTGAAATTTATAAATTGCTGTACTGATTTCCAAAGTGACTACCGTTCTGCTTTCTCATCAGCATAGTATAATAGTTCCATGTCTATGTATGCACTTGTTATTGTCAGTCTTTTAAATTTTAGCCATTCTAATAGGTTTGAAGTGGTAGATATCACTTGTCTGTGGTTGTGTTTGTGATCAATTGTGATTTTAATTTTAACTTTCCTAATGATGAAAGGATGTTGAGCATTAAAAAAAAAAGTGTATTTGCCATCAATTTCTCTCTTGTATGCCCATGCTCTTTCTTTTTTTCTTGTTTGCAAAATGTTTGTTCAGGTCTTTTGCCCATTTTTAATTTACTTAGAATTCTCATTATGATTTTTAAATTTTGCGTGTATTCTGGGTATGAGTAACTCCTGTATAAGATATGTATTTCTGGATATTTTCTGCCTGTTTGTAGCTTGGTCTTTTCATTTTTAAAAGTGTCACTAAAAAACCAGAAGGTTTTAAATGTTGATACAGTCCACTGTATCAGTTTTTCATTTTATGTTTCATTCTTTTTATGTCTTCTCTAAGACATCTTTGCCTAACCCAAGGTCATGAAGATTTTCTCCTAAGCAGTTCTTCTTCTAGAAATTTTATAGTTTTATGTTTTACATTTATGTCTATTATCAATTGTGAATTAACTTTTGTATAAAGTGCAAGATTCATTGCTTATCATTTGGATGGATGAACATTTGTTCCTGTGTTCTTCATTGTAAAGACTTCATTTCTCCATTGGTTTCCCTTGTCATCTGTGTTGAAAATCAATTGTTGAGAATTATTTGTGTGGGTCTATTTCTAGTCTCTTCACTGATCAATATGTCTGCCCCTATGCCAATACCATGTTATCTTTTTAAAAAAGATTTTATATACCATGTTTTTCAGACCATAAGACATGCCTAGGTTTTAGAGGAGGAAAATAGGAAAAAAATTTTGAAGAAAAAAATGTGGTAAAATATTTAATAACATAAATAACATAATATTTCACCAATGTAAATGTAAACAGAACTCAACAGCAGTATTAACAAACATTATTCCTCCCCAATTTGGGGGGGGGCAGGAGAGAGAGAGGGAGAGATCGAGCGTGTCTTATAGTCTGAAAAATACGTTGTTGTTTTTTTTAGACACAGGGGAAGGGATGGAGAAAAAGAGGGAGAGAAACATCAATGTGTGGTTTCCTCTCACA